TCCAGCTCCGATGACGATAGATCTGTCATATAAGACTTGGAAATCCGAGAATAATATGGTTATGACCTGGCTTGTTAACTCGATGACACTTGATATTGGCGAAAATTTTCTTCTCTATGGCACAACTAAGGAAATTTGGGATGCTGCCCGTGAGACCTATTATAGTTCGGACAATACAAGCGAATTATTTGCTGTTGAAACCATTCTTCATGACTTTCATCAAGGTGATCTCTCCGTCACCCAATACTTCAATACTCTTAATCGATATTGGCAGCAGCTAGATCTATTCGAGGTGTATCCTTGGAAGTGTCCCGAAGACTCTGTCATATTTTGTCAAATCATAGAACAGAAACGCACCTTCAAATTTCTTCTTGACCTCAAATCTGAGTTTGACCACACTCGCTCCGGATTTTGAATTCAAAACCTCTTCCAACAATTCGTGAAGTTTTCTTCAGAGTCCCCAAAAGGTCATTTTAGGTGCTCCCTCGTCCACTACAGCCCTCGACGAGTCTGCACTTGCTGCTCAAATCCCATCCACAGACAACCGCCAACGTCAGGGCCGCCCTTGGTGTGACCACTGCCGCCGTTCTGGCCATACTCAGGATACGTGTTGGCGGATTTATGGCAAACCCGCCAATGGGAAACCCAAACGGGATCATCGCGCAGCTGCCACCATCACCACCGAAGCTTCTTCAGGAACGAGCCCATTCAGCGAAGAACAGATTCATGCCCTCCAGAAGATGCTCGGTCAGCTGTCACCAATCCAACCTACTAGTGTGGCATCAGGTGCCACCGGCATTGTTACCTATCAAGGTATTTCCCCATCCGCTTTCGTCTTGGATTCAACCTCTTCTTGCCCCTGGATTGTTGACTCAGATGTTTCCGATCATATGACCGGGGATATCTCCTTATTAATGGATTACCGGCCGTGTAATCCGACCCTCACTGTTCGGATTGCTGATGGATCGACCTCCAAAGTTGCTGGTCTTGGTTATGTCCGCACCTCTCCAGATTTATTCTTCACTTCTGTGTTTCATGTTCCTACCTTGGATTGTAATCTGATCTTTATTAGTAAGCTCACCCATGATTGTTATTGTGTTGTTAAATTTTTTCTATATGTTTGTGAATTTCAGGATTTGAAGTTGGGGAGGAAGTTGGAGGATGATTGACAGTGCTGAGTTGCGCAGTGGTCTCTATCTTCTCAACAAACCCTCTGTCAGTCTAGTCTCACCCACCGGTTGTATTCTAGTATCAAGTCTGTCTTGCTTAAATCCGCTTAGTACATCTGTATTTCATTCCAGCGTTAATAATGACAGTAAAATCATGTTACTTCATTATCGTTTAGGTCATCCCAATTTTATGTACCTTGGGAAACTGTTTCCTCATTTATTTATTAATAAAAATTCTACCTCTTTTAATTATGAATTTTGTCAACTTGTCAAACACACGCGTACTTCATTTCCTCGTTTATCATACAGACTCACTCGTTCCTTTTCTCTAATTCATAGTGACATCTGGGGTTCTCGTGAAAAAAATATTTCTGGGGCCCAATGGTTCGTGTCCTTTATTGATGATCACACACATGTGATATGGATCTATCTTATGCGTGAAAAATCTGAGGTAGGACCAATATTTCATGCATTCTATCAAATGATACTCACTCAATTTGACACAAAAATTCACTCTTAAAATAGATAATGCACGATATTTTTTCAACACCTCCCTAGGAACTTTTCTTACTCAGCATGGCATCATTCACCTTAGTACGTGTGATGATACTCCCCAACAAAATGGGGTTGTCGAGCGGAAAAATGGTCACTTGTTGGAGGTAGTCCGTTGTCTCATGTTTACCACATCGGTCCCTAAATGTTATTGGGGCGAGACAACATTGACCGCTGCCTACCTCATAAATCGGATGTCCTCTCGTATTATGGGTTTCCGTAGTCCAATTGATGTCCTCCTTCGCTCCTTTCAAAATATCTGTACTCTCTTCAGTTGTCCCTACCAAACTATTTGGTTACCTCAAATCTGTCAAATGCATATTCATAGGGTATTCGACCAACAAGAAAGGCTACAAGTGTTATTGTCCTTCAACTAAAAGGTCTATAATTCTATGGATGTCACTTTTTTTTAGCATCAATTATACTACCAAGAGTCTGTCATTCAGGGAGAGAGTGGTAGTGAACAACAGCCCTGTGTTCCTTTACCAACTGACACGGGCGGGTCCCTCACCGACTGTCAAACCTCCTCCATCTCCTATTCAACCTCCTCAGTCTATACAACCCACACCTTCTCTTATTCAACCTCCTCAGTCTACACAACGCACTCCTCAGGAACTTCGGATCTATGCAAGACGAAACAAAACTGCTGACTGAATAAAACCTAACACTGCTTCCAGCTGCTGTCCAAGAATCTAATCCGGCTCCAAAATCCTCTGAAACTCACTCAGGTACGGAATCTATAGACACTAGGGATTATGAGCTTACCCCGCCTGTGAAAGATGATTCTGATGTTCCTTGCACTCAACATCCTATTGCCCGATTTGTTTCATATGAGAGATTATCTTCTCTCTATCATGCATTTGTTATTGCTATTGACAGCATAAAGGTTCTGAATTCTATTCAGGAAGCTCTCTCACACCCGGAATGGAGAAAAGCTGGAGGAATGGAGAAAAGCTGTGAATGAAGAAGTTGCTGCACTAGAAAAGAGTGAAATGTGGATTGTGTCTGATTTGCCCAAGGATACGAGACCAGTAAGATGTAGGTGGTTATTTACAATCAAATGTAAGACAGACAGAAGCATAGATCGGTTAAAAGCCCGACTGGTTGCAAAAGGTTTTACTCAGTCATACGGAATTGACTACCAAGAGACATTCACCCCAGTAGCCAAACTGAACTCCATTAGAATCTTACTCTCCATTGTAGCAAACCGAGACTGACCTCTTATGCAACTTGATGTCAAAAATGCATTCCTTAATGGAGACCTTGAAGAGGATGTATACATGAATTTACTGCCTAGTCTCGAAGGGTCCTTCCCTAGTGGCAAAGTATGCAAGCTCCAGAAATCTCTGTATGGTCTCAAACAATCTCCCTGCGCTTGGTTTGCCCGATTCACCAATTCAGTAATCAAGTGCGGTTATACTCAAAGCCAGACTGATCATACAATGTTCACAAAAAGATCCGAGAAGAAGATTGCTGTACTTATTGTGTATGTTGATGACATCATTCTTACCGGTGATCA